AACATTAATAATGCCAACAATTTAAATAAATAAATAAATAAACAAGAATAGTAATACTAGTGAACATAATCATAATGCAGGAATATAAAGTACAAATAATAATATAATTAATAGTACAAAAAAACATAAAAATTAATTACAATAAAACGTTTAACCAATTTAAAAAAGAGGGAGAGTGAATTTTTTCAAGGACAAAAAATGTTTAAATGTGTAATTTAGGTGATAAAAGATGAGTTTTAAGCATGACTACAGGGGGACTTTAAAACTATCCAGGAAACAGGAAATGGCCGCAAAGTATGCCTGACGCTCATCTGTTTTGAAACTAGCGAGTGCAGAAGTCCAGCATTTATTTCTTTGCTTGTTTATTGTTAATAACGCGACAAAAAAACTACTTAAGCAGCAGGAGCAACGTCAATACATTCCGTGAGTTTCTACACAAAGTTTGTGTTTTCTGTGTTATGTTTAACGTTATCCATTCATAAACAAGTGCTATTGTGTCTTGTTTCCACAGAAAAGACGCAATTATGACACTAAACCAAAATTATTATATTTAAGTCATAATTATTAAACTAAAAAGTCGAAATAATGATATACTAGATCAAAGTTGACTTCGTTATATATATATATATATATATATATATATATATTACCATTAGTCATTATGTTAAAATGAGGTCACGATTTGGATTGTCGAGTTGATAATTTTGACTCAATATGTCAGAATTTAGCCTAATAATGTTATAAATTTGACTTGACCCCATTATTTCGTCTTTTATCTCACAATGATTTAATATTTTGAATCTTTCGACTTATGACTAAATTAGAAGGTTAACAGGTTTAAAAGTTCACGTCAGGTTCAATTACAGGCAAATGGCAGTTTATGTTATTGTTATTGAATGTGAAGCGCTCTCTGTGTGTTAGATGTCCACCGTGGCCCCTCAGAAGGGCCCGGGGCCCGGTGTGGGTCTGCTTGGCCCTCAGCAGCAGCAGCAGCAGCAGCAGCTGAGAGAGATCTCACCTGTGTACCTGTGCCGCATCGGGCAGGAGACTGTGCAGGACATCGTCACACGCACTATGGAGATCTTCCAGATCACACGTGCCACTCAGGTGAGAAGAACCTGAGACACTCACCCGAAACTTACCCGAGACAAACCCTCACTCGAGACTCACGCTCACCTGAGACTCGCGCTCACCTGAGACTCACCCGAGACTCACTCGAGACTCACGCTCCTCACCTGAGACTCACCCGAGACTCATGCTCACCTGAGACGCACCCTAGACTCACGCTCACCCTAGACTCACCCGAGATTCATGCTCACCTGACCCTCACCCGAGACTCACACGCTCACCTGACCCTCACCTGAGACTCACTCTCACCTGAGATATTTGGGTACGATTTTTGATTCTCAACTGAAGTTCGAAAGGAACTCTGAATCAGTGGTTAAACGCGCCCAGCAGGGAGTACGTTTATTGCGTAGGCTAAATTCTTTCGGGGTTTCTATACCTATATTGTGCACTGTGTATTTGTGAAAGTCTGCTCCAAAATTATTGGAATTCAATTGTGCGACCTAAATTCTCTTTGGGAGATATTTGTTCTTCAAAAAGTAAAAAGCCTTGTGAATCAACATCATATTCTGGGGGGTGAATTTTTTCTTATGCCTTCAGGTTGGCGTTACTTGCAGCCCCCTGCAAAGACTAACCGTTATGGAAGATCATTTATTCCCTCAGGAATCAGGCTGTTAAATATTGAGCTGAGGTAATAATTATGGACTGAGCTGTTTTTGGCACTGTGCTCTTTAGGAGCTACGGATTTGAAATTTTTGATGTTTCCCTTTTTATTTATATTTTATATACTGTACTTGGACTCGGTAACTATCGTGTTTGCCCTTGTTTTACTCTACAGGCTATGTCTGTGTGAATGGTTGTAAGTATAGACGGTGTACTGTAGAAACTGAATTGCCCTTTGGGGATTAATAAAGCTATCTGTATCTCACCCGAAGCTCACCTGAGACTCACCCGAGACTCACGCTCACCTGACCCTCACCCGAGACTCATGCTCACCTGACCTGACCCTCACCCTCACCTGACCCTCATCTTAGACTCACGCTCACCTGACCTTCACCCGAGACTCACACACACACCTGACCCTCACCCGAGACTCACGCTCACCTGACCCTCACCCGAGACTCACGCTCACCTGACCCTCACCCGAGACTCACGCTCACCTGAGATGTTTGGGTACGATTTTTGATTCTCAACTGAAGTTCGAAAGGAACTCTGAATCAGTGGTTAAACGTGCCCAGCAGGGAGTACATTTATTGCGTAGGCTAAATTCTTTCGGGGTTTCTATACCTATATTGTGCACTGTGTATTTGTCGTATATTGAGAGCCTTCTTACTTTTTCTTTTATTTGTTGTTTTGGTAATATATCAGTGAAGGATCGAAACTGTTTAAATAATATTGTGAAAGTCTGCTGCTCCAAAATGATTGGAATTCAATTGTGCGACCTAAATTCTCTTTGGGAGAAACGTGTTCTTCAAAAAGTAAAAAGCCTTGTTCTTATGTCATCAGGTTAGCGTTACTTGCAGCCCCCTGCAAAGACTAACCGTTAACTTATGGAAGATCATTTATTCCCTCAGGAAAGCGATGAGCTTCAGAACCTAAATTACAGGGCATTGATTGAAGGTCAGAATTACACAAGCTCCGAATGGATTGGCCAGATACTGCATACCATCGCAGATGAGCTCATCACATTAAAAGGTGTCGTGAGGTTTTCACAGGCAGTGAACTCGTACCATAATGTGACGGTAACAATACAGAGAATTTTTAGAACACCCAACCACACAACACGCTCTTCCCGGCATCACTGGACATACGCACAAAATAACTAAATAAAAACATCTAACATCTGCTATAGCCGCCTACGAGAACAACGCTACTTCCGCAGCAGCAAGGCCCGCAGTAATAGTAGAGAGGTTAAGCGACTTTTGACTTCAAGTCATGATGCAAAGGTCCTCTTTGGTATGGAAGTACCTTATGGCCATAGAAATAAATTTATCCTAAGACACAAGTGAGATCACATTTTGTTTCTTATATACGCACATTTTTTTAAAATGGCCACCAATCACACTTGAGAGGCCCATATCTTTGCTTCTGTTATAGCTATATATATATATATATATATACAGTGCCCTCCACAATTATTGGCACCCCTGTTTAAGATGTGGTCGAGGACTTTTAAAAATTCTCCCTTTTTTTTAAACAACATAGAATCCAAATGCAAAAAAAGAGAAAAATCCAACCTTTTATTTAAGTACATTACTTTGGTGGTAAAAAAAAAATTTAAAATTTAAAAAAATAAAAACTTCAAATCATGTGTCCCACAATTATTGGCACCCCTGATGTTAATACTTTGTACAACCCCCTTTTGCCAACAAGACAGCACTTAATCTCCTCCTATAACATTTCACAAGATTGAAGAACACAGAGAGAGGGATCTTTGACCATTCTTCTTTGCAAAATCTTTCTAGATCATCCAGTATCCTGGGCCCTCTTTTGTGCACTCTCCTCTTTAGCTCACCCCACAGGTTTTCGATTGGATTGAGGTCTGGGGACTGAGATGGCCATGGGAGGACCTTGAGTTTGTGACTGAACCATTTTTGTGTAGATTTTGCCACACGTTTTGGATCATTATCCTGCTGAAAGACCCAATGACGACCCATCTTCAGCTTTCTGGCAGAGGCCATCAGGTTTTTATTTAAAATGTCCTGGTAGTTCAAAGCGTTCATAATGCCATGCACCCTAACAAGGTTCCCAGGGCCTTTGGAAGAGAAACAGGCCCACAGCATCACAGATCCTCCACCATACTTCACGGTGGGCATGAGGTACTTTTCGGCATACACATCTTTTGTTTTACACCAGATCCACTTAGAGTGTTTGTTGCCAAAAAGCTCAATCTTAGTCTCATCCGACCAAAGCACACGATCCCAGATGAAGTCCCAGTGCCGCTTGGCAAACTCCAGACGTTTACGTTTGTCAGTGTTAGTGAGAAAAGGCTTTTTCCTAGCATGCCTCCCAAACATCTTGTTTGATGGTGTCTGATGAGTTGTTTTGGAGATTTTGTGACCCCAAGATGCCACTATTTGATGCAATTCTGTGACAGTGAGCTTAGGACTTTTTTTTACTTTTCTTAGCATCCTCCTCACAGTGCGTTGTGGCAAGATAAACTTGGGACCTCTTTCAGCCTTGTTTGTCACTGTTCCTGTTGTTTTAAACTTCTTAATGATTCCTCTAACTTTAGATATGGGCAATATAAGGTGAGTGGCTATTTTCTTGTAGCCATTGCCTGACTTATAAAGGTCATCACACATCTGCCTTACTTGAATGGTGTGTTCTCTTGTCTTTGCCATGTTGACAAATGGGTAAGAGAATTAGGCCTCTGTGTCATGTCATATTTATACCCCAGGGAAATAGGAAGTCATGAATTACTAATTAAAAGTTCCTAGATATCCTGACCAACATTAGCAACTACAGAAAATATATATTTTTAAAAAAATCAATTACATTTTTCAGCGGAATTGTTAGGGGTGCCAATAATTGTGGGACACAGGATTTGAAGTTTTTATTTTTCTAAATTTTTACATTTTTTTTTACCACCAAAGTAATGTACTTGAATAAAAGGTTGGATTTTTCTCTTTTTTTGCATTTGGGTTCTATGTTGTTTAAAAAAAAGGGAGAATTTTTAAAAGTCCTCAACCACATCTTAAACAGGGGTGCCAATAATTGTGGAGGGCACTGTATATAATGGCGGCGCTGCTTTACTTCCGTGTTTCGCCGGATTTGTGTATAGACGGTGTACTGTAAAAACTGAATTGCCCTTTGGGGATTAATAAAGCTATCTGTATCTCACCCGAGACTCGCGCTCACCTGAGACTCACTCGAGACTTACGCTTACCTGACCCTCACCCAAGACTCACGCTCACCCGAGACTCACGCTCACCTGAGACTCACGCTCACCCGAGACTCATGCTTACCTGACCCTCACCCGAGACTCACGCTCACCCGAGACTCACGCTCACCTGAGACTCACGCTCACCCGAGACTCACGCTCACCTGAGACTCCCGCTCACCCGAGACTCACGCTCACCTGAGACTCACGCTCACCCGAGACTCATGCTTACCTGACCCTCACCCGAGACTCACGCTCACCTGAGACTCACGCTCACCCGAGACTCGCGCTCACCTGAGACTCATGCTTACCTGACCCTCACCCGAGACTCACGCTCACCTGAGACTCACGCTCACCCGAGACTCACGCTCACCTGAGACTCATGCTCATCTGATCCTCACCCGAGACTCACGCTCACCTGAGACTCATGCTCACCTGACCCCCTCACCCGAGACTCACGCTCACCTGAGACTCACCCGAGACTCAAATAATAGGTAATAATTATGGACTGAGCTGTTTTTGGCACTATGCACTTTAGGAGCTACGGATTTGGAAATTTTGATGTTTCCTTTTTTTATTTATATATACTGTACTTTGACTCGGTCACTATCATGTTACCTGAGGCTCACCTGACCCTCACCCGAGACTAACGCTCACCTGAGACTAGGGTTGTAAGAAAAAATCGATATACTTGAGTATCGCGATATTTTATTTTTCAATACTGTATCGATTTTCAGAAGCGCAATATTGATTTTTTTTTTTTTTTTTTTTATGCATAGACGCACCACTAGCCTAACGTTTTGCTAGAAACAACATAGCTATGGCTGAACCCCGTGTAAAGACCGGCTCCTGGGAAGTGTGGAATCATTAAGGTTTTCAGAGTAACGAAGGCACTAACGATATCAACAGAAACCATGCAGTTGTGAACTGTCTTTACAAGTTCGGCGCGTGAGCAGCAGGGTATTTTTTCGGCATTCATGTTAATCAATGAAGGCGTTCATTCACACCGTGAGCAGTAGCCGCGCATAAGGGTCAAGCAGGACCGTCGCGTGAGCAACAGTGAAACGGGGGTTTCGGCGGAAAGTCTAAAAGGGTGTCGTACACCAGACGAGAAGCTCAGCGCCACATCTTTAAAATTCGAACACATTATTGTGTACACACTTTGGCGGCGCCATTCGGCACCTGTCCGCGGCGCCCAGCAACGGCTCAGGACCATGTTCAAAATCCTGCTCCGCCACAGAGTGCCATTTATATAGTTTTATATAAAATTTAAATTAGTTTTGTCTCAAATCGTTGCTAATGTATGCTGCTTGAATGACAATTGCTGATGTTATTGGATTTTTCAGGTGAGATTCTCAATTCATTCAGTTAACGGATGCTCTGAGGTAAAGTTTTCAGAATGCAGACTCAGCAACGATTGTATTTAATTGTACAGTACAATCATATCATAGAACAGACATTATCTTGATTTTATGTCATTATATATAACAATATTGCTGGCCAAACACTGATGAGAAACCGTTGTTGTCTGGTGTGCGATACCTGGAGTTTTCCTATATATGGCGCGGCGCTGCGCTTGTCCGGTGTGTGACCCCCTAAGTCTATAAAGTTTATGACCAACTTCTAAAAACACATTTAACCAAAGTTTTTGTAATGAACCTGTCCCAAACTGGTAGTTTGATTTTCTGAGTACTGAATTGTTTACCTAAAGTAAACTTGTTTGACTTTAATTCACATCATGTTTTTTTTTTTAAATATGACTTTTTCTAAAATTATAGTCCTACTTAAAAAAAATAATCCCAATATATCGCCTTATGGACAGTATCGAAATATATTGCAATATATTGAATCGTGACCCATGTATCGTGATATGTATCGTATCGCCAGATTCTTGCCAATACACAGCCCTAACTGAGACTCACCCTCACCAGAGACCGAAAAATCTGAACTACTTGTTGAAATTATGACACATAATGCTCATAATTCTGACATATAAAAGCACAATTGATACTTAAAGGGATAGTTCACTTTGAAAATAATTTTTGATATGTTTTAGCTTACCTCAAGAGCATCCAAGATGTAGGTGTCTTTGTTTCCACAGTATTTTCAATTTTGATATTTTTCAGTAAAACTGTTGTTGTCTATCAGTCATACACTGGAGGTTAAGGGGGTCCACCATGGGTTCACCTCAGAGCATACACAGAGAAGTCAAAATTAAACATGATTGAATGACTCGTGAATGTAAGTACACATTGATGGCCTAAGACACGAAACGAGCAGTTTGTGTGAGAAAACGAACAGTATTTATATCGTTTTTACCTTGTGTAATTACAGCGATGTCAAACTGATCTGACGGCATGGCGCTTCGGTCTGCGCATGCGCCGGAAGTGATCGCTTGCGCGCCTACGTCACTCTTTGTTTATACAGAGATTTCGGAAGTTTTAGCTCTCACTAAACATATTTAGATATACGGGAAATCGCAATGGAAAACGATTTCGGTATATCTTATCTAAATATGTTTAGTAAAAGGTAAAACTTCCGAAATCTCCGTGTAAGTATTGAGTGACGTACACACGCAAGCGATCACTTCTGGCGGAACATGATTCAGTTCAGTTCAATTGAACCTTTACAGTCTATGAGTTGGACATTGCACAACTGATTCAGATCACTTGGATGAGACTGTGATTACACGAGGTAATAACTATATAAATACTGTTCGTTTTCTCACACAAACCACTCGTTTCATGTCTTAGGCCATCAATGTGTACTTACATTTACGAGTCATTAAATTATGTTTAATTTTGACTTCTCTGTGCATTCTCTTTGATGTGGACCCCATACCTGCATATATGACTGGCAGACAACAACGGTTTGACTGAAAAATGTCAAAATTGAAAATACTGTGGAAACAAAGACACCTACATCTTGGATGCCCTTGAGGTAAGCTAAAACGTATCAAAAGTTATTTTCAAAGTGAACTATCCCTTTAATCAAAATTGTTATGAAAACGTCATTATAACATTAAAAAAATCATAATTATGACATTAAAAAAGTCAAAAATGTAATCTTTGTAAAGCTGCTGTGAATCATCTGCACTGTTAAAGCTCTGTATAAATGAAGGAGACTGGACGTGTTTCCCTCAGCTTCCCAACGGAGTGACGCAGAGTCAGGCTGCGTATCAGGATCGCTTCGGGAAGCTCCAGGAACACCTGCGTCAGCTGACTCTCCTCTTCCGGAAGCTGCGTCTGCTGTACGAGCGCTGTGTGGAGATGACCCCTGACCTCCAGGAGTCTCCGGCCGAGGTCAGTTTGACCCTCAAACATGATGATTGATGCACACAATCGAGCTCAAACACTGTCATCGTGCGAACGAGCGGCCGGAACACGTTACATGTGTAGAGCAGTGTCGTGTTAGCGGCTCTGAGTTAATATCAATCAAAACTAACTTTATCTGGACAATAACTTTATTCTAGATCTGCAGTAAGCTTAAACACTCTCTGTTACTGTAATCTCCTGTTATTACCAGTGGTGGAAAGAGTACTGAAAAAACATACTCAAGTAAAAGTACCATTACATTCCAAAAAATGTAGTGTGAGTAGAGTAAAAAGTACTTGTCCAAAAAACTACTTGAGTAAGAGTAAAAAAGTAGCTTATTTAAAAGTACTCAAGAGTAGTGAGTAGTGAGTACTGAGGTGCGGATTCTAACCCTTATAATAAACACTGTGCACTACAATTTATAAATTTAAAAAAATGCACATACTGGAATTCACATTTGTTCTTTGTAAGAAAGATTGAAGAATATCTATCATCCATCTTTTTAAAATGCATCAAATCAGTACACTCATCACCATTTAAATCATATTATTTGGGGGAAAAAGCATTTAAAATTAGGCAAAAAGCCACTGGGCCTGAGCATGTTATTGTTGCACATAAAATATCAATATTCATAACTGTGCAAAGAATTGAAAAACCTTTAGAAACTCATATGATAGTTCAGCATTACACACCAAGAGATGGGTTAAATAAAATAAAAAAAATACCCAATTTCTCTCCAAATTGGTACCAATGTTAGTGTTTTGATAAATGAGAATCACTAATATTATCATATTACCTCAACTAATGCACTGAAAAAGGCTAAGATAGTGAGCTAACACTAATTACACACTTTTATTCCATGCTATTAAATATGTTACAATTTAAACGTAAATGCATTGTTCTAGAAGGGTGGCATCATCCCTTACATTTTACACGGCTACATTTACACACATTGATGCTGATAATATAATTTGTAAGGAAAATCGTGCATTAAATAGGGAAGTTATATCCAGGAAACTTCTACAAAAGAAACAAACACACTTTGTCTGTTTTATCAGCAGCATGCATCCAAAAAAAAAAAAAAAAAGTTCAGCATGAAAAATGTTTTTGCGCAAGTGCACTTTCCAAATGAAGACGGGTCATATAATGGATCAATCAAAAAACGCTGTTTATTAACGAGCTGTGCTAATTTCTTATTAAGTAATGCAGTTCAAGTTAACGGCATGTGCACTGATTCTGAATCTGGCGGCATGGCGAGCGCGAGACGCGGCAGTGGTGCACAGATCGTGACGCGCGTCTCTATGATTGTGAAGTAAATGGGAGCGGGAATTCACCGCATCATGAACTCGTCTCGCAATTCCCCCAACCTCAGACCAAATGTTAGGCCATGTAGACAGGCCAGCCTATATAAATATCATATTAAGCAGAAATGTGAAATGTACCTTAGCATATTAGAGGAAGACGCTGATATCTGGATTGAATTGATGCGTGATGAATGCACATCCACATCAGTCACGAGTAACAGCAGGAATAGGCGGTAAGTTTTCTATGCTTAATTTGAATTGATGACAGTCACGAGACCGATTACTCGATCCAATCACGTTGATGGATAAAAATCAAATTAAAACAAGCATGTAACGAGTAACGGCCACAAACAGAAGGAAAATAGCGGAGAAAAAGTACCGATACATCACTTAAAATGTACTCAAGTAAAAGTAAAATTACACAATTTTAAACTTACTCAAAAAAGTACAATTTCTGAAAAAAACTACTTAATTACAGTAACGTGAGTATTTGTAATTCGTTACTTTACACCCCTGGTTATTACTGTAAAGCTGCTGTGAGGTGTGTGTGTGTGTGTGTTTGCTTTCATGACTGTAATATCCTGTTATCTCTGTAAAGCTGCTGTGAAACTCTAAATGAAGGGACTTGACAGATCATTCTGATAAACACTTGATCTGATTAGCCTCAGAATCAAATACATATTATTTTAATTATTATTATTGATATTATATATTAGTTGACTATTTGTATTATTATATAGTGTTTTAGATGCAATCTGCATTCAAATTATCAGCATTTAGCATTTATCAAAATCAAAGAATGGATTTAAAGGGTTAGTTCACCCAAAAATGAAAATTAAGTCATTAATTACTCACCCCCATGCTGTACCAACCCCGTAAGACCTTCGTTCGTCTTCGGAACACAAATGAAGATATTTTTGATTAAATTTGAGAGCTGTATAACTACCACATTGGCTCCTAAGGGACTGCCTCTTGACGGCCCAAAAAGTCAATGAAGAAAATGTTTAAATATCCCAAGTGACTACCGTGGCTCAACTATATGTTTATCAAGCGACGCGAATACTTTTTGTGCGAAAAAACAAACAAAAATAACGAGTTTATTCGACTTTTTCCTTTCTTCCTTGTAGGCCAGAACGAGACTTCCTTATAGATTTCCACGACGCATGCGCGAGATTTGCGATCTGCTTACACCAGCTTACACTACTTCAGATCGCAATTCTCGCGCATGCGTCGTGGAAATCTATAAGGAAGTCTCGTTCTGGCCTACAAGGAAGAAAGGAAAAAGTCGAATAAACTCGTTATTTTTGTTTGTTTTTTCGCACAAAAAGTATTCGCGTCGCTTGATAAACATATAGTTGAGCCACGGTAGTCACTTGGGATATTTAAACATTTTCTTCATTGACTTTCTGGGCCGTCAAGAGGCAGTCCCTTAGGAGCCAATGTGGTAGTTATACAGCTCTCAAATTTAATCAAAAATATCTTCATTTGTGTTCCGAAGACGAACGAAGGTCTTACGGGGTTGGTACAGCATGGGGGTGAGTAATTAATGACTTAATTTTCATTTTTGGGTGAACTAACCCTTTAATTTGTATGCAGTTTGCTGCAGATGCTGATCAAATATTATCTGTCTTAGTAAAATGATATTGAAAATGTTCAGTTTTTTGATCAAAGCTCTGTAGTTTAAAACATATAATGCAATACGATGACTGAGACTAATGTTCATATTTGATACTCGTGATTTTTATGTTTATTCTACTTATTCTGCTAATATCTGTAACTTATTAAAATGGAGTAAAACTTTGCTCTCAGACTTCTGTTTCCAGCTGTATTAATCAGTATAATGCAGTTAGATTAAACGTATTAATGAAGATGAATCTCATGGCTGAAGACGATGTGATCAATCGTGCGTCTGCTCTCCTCCAGCTGGTGCCGTATGTGTCGGAGGAGGCCGAAGCCGTGCGGATGGAGACCTGCAGTCCGGCCGTGATTCAGGAGAGGAGAGAAGTTCTGGAGGTTTGATAATCTTTACAATGGTCTCTCAGACCCAACAAGGCACCACAGCTTCACACCCGAGGAACCCTTTCATAGTTTCTCGAGCTTCTGGCGGAAGCAGCCGGGGTTTGGCGTGTTCGCACCGCAGGAACAATTTTAGTTCTAGGATCTCTTTCGGAGGAACTAATTTACTCCTCCTTCAGAGTTGGTCTTAACCAGCACTATAGGAACTATCCGTGACGTTAGTGTTCTCTGATTGGCCGAACGCATGCCATTATTAATAAGGTCTACAGATTATAGCCTATATATTTACTAGAGATGCACAGACCGATTTTAACGTGATCGGGACCGGCCAGTCAGTCTGACATGCTGATTTTATGCCGGTCAAATGCATTCGGGCTCCACATGATTAACACCGCAGTATCACACGTGCACACGGAACGCACATGTAGGAAACCTCGTGAATTACGGCCGTTTCACCCCTTATTTACACCACAAGCATGAGCGACGCATTTTTTTTTTCGGCTTGCATGTTAATCAATGAGTGCATTCACACCAGGAGTAGGGCTGGGCGATATATCGCACGATATTGTTATGCGCATCTAATCAGTAAAGCCGGTTCCTTGATTAGCAGTAAATCACCTTCACCTGCTTTCAGATGGACGATATGAGTGTTACATTAAACTGTTATTTAGATAATTAAGTGATTAATTTAGTGATGATTGAGCATTATTGATGACACCTGATGATCACAAGCAGAATCACTGAAGGACAAAATCACAAATTGTAAGCCACCGTTATGGAGATCAGTGTCTGCTTTAGTTGGGCTTTTGACACTTATACTTTCACTTTAAATTTTGTTTGCCTGTTGATATTGATCTATAACAGTCAAATAAACACAGGTAACTGTGAACTGGTAGTGTTGGTTATGCTTTGACATAATCATGCAATGGTCTGAAAAATGAAACATATTCAGTTGATTCGGTTAACTTGTTAGCTACAGTTTTGTGGTTCTGCTGCATATCTGTATTTTACTTATAACCTAAAATATTTAATCTGATCAAATCACTTGCATCTTTATTCAGAAACACAGAGATCAATAATCAGCCTATCTCAACCGTGGTGACATTTTGCCACCAATCACAACTCATTAATGTCTCCCATCATGCATTGCGGTATGAATAAATTATGATCTGAATTGTCTATGTAATTAACTTTTCCTACTTGAATATTCTACTCGTCACCGTTGTTGAGAAGCATTGACCGAATCTTGAGGTCTGTGTGTGCCTAAAAGAGAGGGTTTTTTTTTTGTTTAAAACAACTTTTGAGAAATCCATTATATTATATTTAATGTTCTGGATGTTAATGCAGAATCTCAGTTATACATTAACCAACAGAATAAATCACAGACATAAGTTTTAAATGATGAAAGTCATTATATAACCAACATCATTTTGTAATTGTTTATCTTTGTTCATCTGACAGACATAACTCGGATGCAACAGCAAATTAAAATATAAGATGTATAATATAAGGGTCAAGAGCCCAACTAAAGCAAACACTCATCTCCATAACGGTGGCTTAAAATTTTAGATTTTTTTTCCTTGTGATTCTGCTTTAGGTGTTTTCAATAATGCTCAATCATCACTCATTTAATCACTTAATTTTCTCATTAACTTTAACACTCTTGAGTGTGGACTCATATACACTCCAGGTGTGTTAATTTAACACGGGAGATTTTGTCGTGACGAAGAGCCGTAGTTAACTGACCAGCTGAGCCATATCGCATTAAATATCGATATCGATATGTCCTCGATATTAACGCGATATGGCTCAGCTTGTCAGTGATCTACGGCTCTTTGTAGTGAATGCCGCTCCATCTGAAAGCAGGTGAAGGTGATTTACTACTAATCAAGGAACCGGCTTTACTGATTAGATGCGCATTCAATATCGTTCGATATATCGCCCAGCCCTGACCAGGAGCAGGAGCCACGCATGAGCTTAGAGAAAAAAAGGATTTAAAAGTGCCCAAAATTAACAGAATTTGCATATTGTGTATTTTAACAAGAACTGGAGTAGGCTATGTCAGAAAAGAAAATGTACCCATTTAAATTTGTTTTCATTATTGAGTTTGAGTAAAAGTATATGGTGTCGGACTCGGAATCGGCTAAAATCGGTATCGGCAGTTCAAACTCAATGAAAATCAGTGCATTTCTAATATTTACTCCAGAAACTAACTGAATGAACATGGAAAACAGTGATAGATGAGCATCTAAACCTTTACGATGAGAAAATCCAAAGCTACGAGGAGATCGAGAGAAACATGATTATGTATCTACCCAGGAACTCTGATCATCAACCGCACGAGAAACACTCATAACTTTTCATTACTGTCTACTTTCTATGTATAACGGTTCTGTCTAATAACGGATGAGACTGTTAGATCGTAAACTAATGAACACGTCAAATTAAAATTCACAACAATAAACATGTCTCACGTCACTTCAGAGTTCCTATTAGCAGTGCGAACGCAACCAGGAAAACGTTCCTTGGGGAACCATCCTGGTGTTCAGATCCTAGAACCATCCTAAACATACTAGTGCACTGCAAGATATCAAGCTTTTCCTTTATGGTTTCAAACAGTTTTTGTTTGTTTGGTTTTATTGTATTTATATATTTGTATGGAAATGAAAATAGCCGTGGATGCTGACATGGCACTAAATAAATCTGGTTTTAAACACGCATATGACCGTGGGTGAATTAAATCCAAGAGCTCCAGGAATTATACTTTTGTGATTATGTGTTTACTGTCACTTTTGATTGATTTCATGCATTCTTGCTGAACAAAAGTATTCATTTATTGTGTAACAGAAAGTGAGGCAGAAGAACCAGGAGATGAAGGTGCTGATGGACCAGATGAGGAACCTCCTGTGGGACGTCAATGCCATGCTCACCATGAGGAAATGACCCCTGTCCAATTCTGTTAAACACCTGACCGGCTTCAAGACTGTGTTTCCTTCACAGCTCGTTCATCTGGACAGACGAGATCAGACCCAGCTTTTTCTTAATTTACAGTGTTAAATCCCAATGTTCTGATTAATAACAGCTTTATCAAAGCATTGAATTAGTATCAGTTTGAGTAAGTCATGTCAAAGCCATGATGATGTTTGCACGACTGTGTGTGTGTGTGTGTCTGTTTTCCTGAGCTCAGCATTACACTCCTGAGATCTGCCTTCTGGGTGAAGAATCATCTTTTTTTTTCTTTTTCTTTTTTTTACTTTTTTTTTATATGAAATAAAAAATAAAAACAACTTTTGTCTCTTTTCTTTAAGGAAATACCGAACATAAATCACATTATTAGTATTTCTTAACAATTGCATAATTATTGTATTAGTATTAGTTGACAATACCGTGAAAGAGTTTGCAGTCTCGATGGTTTATATTTAAATCTTTTTAATAATTTAAACGATAATAACCCTTCTCACCAGTTGCAGAATGACTGCTAAAATCCCAGTACTGGGGGTTCACCAGCAGATGGAGTCATTGTGACGTTTCTCAAACTGCTCCATGTTTTTCTCTTTGTTCGACTGGGACAAATGACACATACCCATTTTACTGTCTTTGACAATACCTGGCAACCCGTCAGTGCAGCTACTCTCCAGATCCAGTCCAGCTCATTATCGGAAACCAGCTCTTCAAACGCAAACTTTTTCTTATTAATAAACAATAAAGAAAGAACATATGACATTATCACGCTTCCAGGTTTCATGGGTGGGATTTGTCAACTTCCGCATGTCCACTTCCGACGCAGTCTTGAAACGTCTTAAATATTTTTTGGGATTTTTAAGGTCTGAAAATGTCTTGAATTTTCCATAAGGAGGTCTTACATTTCATGTGGGATCTTTAATTTCATGTCCAACTCGTCATTTTTATTTATTTTTTTCAACCGCAATTTGATCAGCGCAACATTTGGGGGCAGCACTTCATGGAGTGCAACCTGCATCATTCCATACATCTTTTAAAATGGTCTATACATCTCAACTCAGAAAACAATATTCCATATTCCACAATTATATAAAAGAAACAAGATTACATTTAAATTCAACAAAAGAAAAGGAGGATTCTAAAAGAAAATAACAACTAAAATAACCTTGCTACACTCATCAATCAGAAGAATTCGGTCACGGCGTACTATCTGTCGAAGACAACATGGGGCGTTGGGCACACAAATGATGGCGAACTTAAGAAACAGAGTTGTACCAACCACCCTTCACCAGAACTGGAGTAGATCTATTTGGGCCATTCAACATTAAACGTGGAAGATCATCTGTAAAGAGATATGGGGTCATACCTGCCTTGCATGTCGTGCGGTCCACATAAAAATGGCAACATCATTGGAAAACAGACTCTTTTATTCAAGCTCTGCTTCGCTTCATTGCAAGAAGACGTCAGCTGAAGGAGATCAGATCTGATAATGGGACCAACTTTGTTGGAGCTGATCATGATCTCAGAAAGGCAATAAAGGAGTGGAATACTTCACAAATTGAGAACAACTTGGTCCAACGTGACATCAGATGGTTATTCAATCCACCATCCGGATCCCACCATGGAGTGGTGTGGGAGAGAATCATCCACTCCATCCAGAAAATCATGGGTGCCAGAGAACAAAACTTGGATGAGGAAGCTCTTCAGACGTTCTTCTGTGAATGTGAAGCCATTCTGAATAGTATGCCTATTACCATGCCTTCCAATGATATTAATGATCTGGAAGCTGTTACCCCACAGCATTTACTCCTGCTCAAGACTAACCCCAACTTACCACCAGGACTCTTCCATAAGGATGATACTTATGCGTAGGGCCTGAAGTTAACTATTTCAGCCACCGGCCACAAAAAATTCAAAAATTCACCTCCCACAGAGACTTTTTACCAGCCAGTTTTTTTTTTTTTTTTTTTTTTGCCTCATAAAGGTTTTTATTCATTCATTTTGACACACACACACACACACACACACCATATATATAGTATAGGCTATATACTATACTCAACAGATAGACCTACCGCAGCTCGTATGTAAACAAATCACACACAGCTGTGTTGATGGCTGATTTAGTCACGTAGACAGATCCTGACAGCTTTTAGTTACAGCGTTCAGGAACCGTTAACTATGAACAACAATTAATATTGTTATTACTGGTAAAGTTACCGGGTACCGGGCATTTTCTCACCGGTTCCCAACTCCCAACATGCACATTTGCACACGCACACACATCTGTGCAACTGTCATTGTAGCTACTGTAGCCTACGTCAGCGTTACATTATCTCATCCCATCTCACCAACACACATCGCACATCCAAACGTAGTCAGAAAAGGGCCTCATCTTCTTTCTGATCCCATGAACGTTACGAAACAGCAGTCGCTGTCATAAATCAGCCGCTCACGAACCTTGCCATTGCCCCCAATTGTCCACTTTGTATTAAAATGTCTTCTTTTACTTTTCTTTTTCTCATCCTCATCTTTTTGTTGGTTGTTTGTTTCAGCTGGCCTCTTTACCCCAGTAATGTGCCAACACATTTTAGCTAAAGTCCAACGCAATGGCGGACTTCGTTTTATTTGTATCCTTTTATTTTCACTAGCAACTAGAATAAGTGTACTAACCAGCTCACATTTTCTTTTTTTTTTTTTTGTAAATCAGAAACCGAAGAATAAAACCAAAGATTTTCATCTTTTATTTCAACAACGTTGCTGAAGTGGATTTATTGAACTGTGTTGCTGGGCTCTCAATGGACACTGCAAATGGAACTAGCTGTTGGAATAATGTTAAATAGTTATTAGTGTAAGCCATCGCTCTTCTCAAGATTTAAGAACTCTACAACTAATATAGTTTTTTTTTTCATTTTTCTTTTCATTTTACCTATATGCACCTTTCATCCTAAAATAAAGTATAAGTTTCAGTGCACATTCTGTAAAGGTTTGAAATGTTTTTTTTTTTTTAAATGCACCTGATTCTTAACCCCAGTTTGATTCAGGGGTTTGTCTATTTAACCATCTTTGTATATCTTTCTTCTTTCTATTTTAATAAATCAACAGCATTGCATGTTGTATTGCACGAATCTGGATCAAAAATGCTCAATTGGATTTGGATATTTACAATGAGGAGGAGGTATAGTTGTAAGGGGATCCACTGGAGGCAAGTGTAGATGAGAACCCAAGTGCACATAACAAAATCAATGATGTGAAAATATGAGGGCTTAAATACACACAAGACTAATGACAAAACAAGGGACACCTGTGAACAATGAACCAATGACAAGACACATGGCAGGAGCATATGACAAATAGGGAATCACATGACAAGACACAGAAACATGACAATGACAGGACATGGGACATGGCATGGTGTGGACGGGCCTGGGCCGTGGATCGTGGGTGGCGCCGGCAGTGCAGGAAGCCAGGGTGCCGCAGGAAGTGCAGGGGACCATGGTGGCACGGCCTCCATGGTCCTATCAAGGGACCTACTGCCTCCCCCCCAAAAAATTCTTGGGGGCAGCTATGGGGTTATGGGCATCGAAAAGACACCGGCTCAGGAACAGACACCGGCTCAGATGTGTGCGCGGCCCACACACACGACATGGCTGTGGCCATAATGGCCAGTGTTGTGGTCACTGAGGGCTCAGACATAACAAAAAATCCAAGATGGCGGCGCCAGTGTTTTTACGGTTTTCTATGCAGTTTACCTGTGTCTGTGTTTTACAAGCTTAATGGGTTATCTGATTGGGAATAAATTTCATCCTGGATCTCAGAACTATGCTAACAACTTGGTGAGGATAAACAGTAAACCATAACATAGCCCACTAACAACGAAACGAGTTGGCCTGGCTACATCAACAACATGAAGCTACTGGTTTACCAGCTGCTCGCTTATGTGCTGTGTGCTGAGCTCACCAATTATGGACACTCTGGGATCTGGATCTGGTGATGGATCATTTATATTTTCCCAGACTCGAACCCTATTGAGCATCTCTGGAGAGATCTGAAAAAGGCTGTGCACTGATGCTCCCCATCCAACCTGGTGGAGCTTGAGAGGTTCTGCAAAGAAGAATGGGAGAAACTGCCCAAAAATAGGTGTGCCAAGCTTGTTGCAAGACTTTGTGCCAAATGTGCTTCAACAAAGTATTGAACAAATACTGTGAATTTTGTCATCATTTACTCACCCTCAAGTTAATTCAAATCTGTATGATTTTTCTTCTTTTGCCGAACACAAAGAAAGATATTTGGAAGAATGACACTAATCACACAGGTGATGTACCCCATTGACTTCCATAGTATTTTTTTCCTATTATGAAAGTCAATGGTGTACATAAACTGTTTGATTACCGACATTATTCAAAATATCTTCCTTTGATGAATGAATCTCTAAAAGCCTCATTTTGGAGATGGACACCATTGAAAGTAATTCCAGTTTCCAAATCAGTAAGTAATGTTTATTCAGTCAGATGTCAGAGTGATTCAAACCACTAACTCCAGAGTTAGATAATCTTTATGAACAATTGAAGAGTTCAGATGCAAAAGCCTCTAAGTGCCATTTGAAATTTTCTTCTAAAATGATCATTTTTATCAAGCTTGTATATTTAAGTTCAGTAATTTCACTTAAATGGCAATGAAGATTACCTATTAATTGTCATTTAAGTGAAATTACTGAACTTAAATATACAAGCTTGATAAAAATGGTCATTTTAGAAGAAAATTTCAAATGGCATTTAGAGGCTTTTGCATCTGAACTCTTCAATTCATAAGAATCGTCACTTGCTTGTGCATCTGATACACTTTCCTATATATGCACTTTAATAAATGATTTATTCTAATAACCTAATTCAACTTTAAACTGTCTGAAAAATGAATGCGTTTGTCACAAAAAAATATTATTTCTTGCCTAATTTCCTGCTGTTGAAAAGAGAAATGCCCATGTTATTTGTAAACGACCCATGTTGGATCTTTTTTTTTTTTTTTTTTTTTTTACAAAACATCAAAATAAAAGATACTTTTTACAAATTCATCCACACACAGTTTGCATTTCGGAATTATTTTATTGGTCATGTAATTACCACTTCAGTTGTTTGGCGACTTGCTGCCGTGTGTTAGTCCACAGCACCATAACGCTACACACTCCTCCAAATGAAACAGCAGCTGGAATGATTGACAGATCTGTGATATTTTCTCATCCATGAAGCTGTCAGTCAAATGTGGAGAACTGGTCATAAAAGGAAAACCCCTCTCGTGTCCACCGACTGGCTATCACAGGCTCGCAGCCAGTAGCTTAGGGGTAGAGATGAGTCCGTATCTTTCCGGGACCCGTCTCCACTGCGCTCGGCTCGGCTCATACGCGCTCCAGGTCTTTGTACCTCTTGCGCAGGACAGACACATGGTCCTTAAAGAGCACAGGGTCCAGGCGAAACTGAGAGTGCATTAGAGGCATGTAACCAAACCAGCTTGCGAAGGTGTTGACACACTCCTGCCTCTGGGTGAAGTGCTCTGGGTTCGCCCACGGCGCCATCTTAGTGCCCTTTGAAGGAGACAGAAAATAAGATGTTAAACACATGACCAAGTCTATACTAATCCCGATACATGTTTTTCTCTATGTTTTGGCCTATCGTCAGTAAGGTGTTTTTGATGTTTTCAGTGTGGACGAAAACGCTAGTGTGGGCAGAGCGTTGAAGTGAAATTAATACGCCATTTTTCAAAAGTGTCCGAATTAATGTAGACGTAGCCGAAGAGCCAAGGGGTGTAAACTTTTGAAAAGAACGATGATGTGTACACACCATCTTAGTGCCCTTTGAAGGAGACAGAAAATAAGATGTCAAAAATACATCACATTTAGGATCTAAAGGTATAGGATAGGAGAGTATAGCAATATGTAGATCAAGGCATATGGGACTGCAGGTTCTGTTTTTTATTTTATTTAAATAGACACTTTAATTATCTTTATTTCAATAGACACGTTTTGCCTGTAAATCATCTATCTATGACATTTTGTATAGTTCCTTTTTTTATTATTCTTATTCTTTATGTATGTGTATCTGTTTCTCTTGAGTATATCCATTTTATATTTGGTATCAGTTATGTCCTCCACACTGAATTAATTCAGTGAAAATTTGTCAGTGTTAATGCTGGTAACTTTGTTCGTAAGAAAAACGCAAAGTATTGGTAAAAAAAAAATAAATCTGTACAAATCCTGATACATATGAAAACACATCTTTTTCTCAGTGGTTTGGCCTACCGTCAGTAAAGTGTTTTCGCTAGTGTGTAAGTTAATACGCCATTTTTAAAAATTATCCGGATTATTGTAGACGTAGCCGAAGAGCAAGGGGGTGTAAACTTTTGAGAAGGTGATGATGTGTGTTTTCCTTCAGAAAATATGTATGTTTCTCAGAAGACAAAACCAAAGAATGTGTTTGACCTGGATGATTTTTACTTGATGAACATTGGGCAGTTTAATAACAAATATCACAACATACACATAAAAACAGTCGTGAATCATACGGCTAATGACACACAGTCCCTCCAGCAGGAGTTCTTCTCTATATCAGTGTTTCTGAACTCCTGAAACGCCTTCATTGAAGTCTTGAGTTTCTTCCTGAACGAACACGTCACAATATTCCTCATTATAATAATTCATACGCAGAATTAAGGGGCGGGGCCTGGTTGAATTAGTTAGTATTGTGTTGAACTGGAGGTTATGGTAAGGGGCATTTCCCAAACACACAAGAAGCACTCGACCAATCACAACACACTGATCCAGCTGACCAATCAGAGCACAGTGTGCTTTTCAGAAGGAGCTAAACAGGGGTGCGTTTCCCAAAAGCATCGTTAGCCAACTATGGTCACGAGTTCTGTCGTTATCAGCAGTTCAACGAGTCTGTTTCCCGAAACGAACATTCGCAAACAGCATCACAGAGTTGTGTGTGTGAGCGACAGATCTCGAGCTGTTTGCATGACACATGGACTTAATAAATCATGGTTTTGAGAAAAACAAGCAAGCTGACATTCATTACAATCTGTATCTTTTATTTAGAATGCATACAAATGTCATTTACATCTTTAAGTTTGTCAAGAGATTAAAGCGTCACTGTTGAAGAGTGCGCGTGTGTGAACGAGCTCTAGTGTGTAAGAACAAGTCTATGATTGAATCTTAAAATACAGCAAAATAACTGAGAAAAATTTGAAATATTCCTCATATGCCATGTTCGTAAATTATAGCAAAACATCTAACATTAATTAGATCTCAAACAGATTCATTAAAAGAAGTTATTACTCCAACACATGCGTGACATCATTAGCCAACGTGGTTGAATGAACCAATTTGCAACAATACAGTTTCGGGAAACAGTCGTGACTCGCCAGTTGATTTCTTCAACGATGCATCACACTATAGTAGTGAACTAAACAGAGCGTTACTGACAGACTGGGAAGAGAGGAGCCGCAACAATGGAGAATATGAGGAAAAAAAATCAACCTGTTCGAGTAGAGCCTGAAAACAAGAAGTATAATATGGTTTCTTTAAGATTCAAGTGTGTGTAAACCTTTAAACTGGTTAATTGTGTTAATTCCGTTATACAACTTAAAAAATAACATGCTATTTTTTGGATTCCTCTTTGTTAAAATGATGAACATCTTGCATGCTCTGCGAAGGCTGTGTAAGCTTGAGTAGAACACACTTGGCTCTGGCCTTACCTGCAGGGTCGGCATCTCTTTGTACTGCTTTCTCTGTGCCACTTTAATCGGTGGCATGTGTGTCACAGAGGAGACCAGGAAGTTCATCAGGATATCCTCACAGTTAGCGGTGCGATCCACCAGCGCACGCAGGGAGGAGGGCAGATAGTGGGAGAACAGGTGATGGTAGTACCTGTAAGACAGAAGCATCAGCACATGAGCGAGAGTCTCCGCTTAGAAGCCGATGTAGAGGGAGAGACTTCAGGGCCCTATTTTAAGGATGTAAGCGCAGGTCTAACACCGTGTCCAAACTACATGCGACGCAATAAAATTCCAGTGACTGCAAGTGTGTCGGTCCACACTAGACGCGACGCGACTGTGAGACGCCACACGTCAGTCAAAAATCACAGCTATTCAGAACAGCGTGTGGGCGGAGTCTCTGAAAGTGCACTGCTGGCCCGCACTCGCATTGGACATAATCAAATCAAGAAAAAACATTATTAAAAATCAAAACATTAACATATGAAGTACAGTTGTATGTTTGCATAGAATTCATTTTGAATGCTATGCTTTCAAATTCTCAGGTAAATTATCCGTTATCTCTTGTGGCACAGTGACCTATTTTTAACTATTTTTAACATGTTCTGACTAAATATTCATGACACGCAGAACTTCCATCCAATGAGATCCCTCTGTGGGCGGATCTGTCAGCTGCAACGTCACAGAAATAGGAACTGTTTCTAAATTAGAAACTTCGCATGTCGCCGTCGCGTCTGGTTAGGACAAAAACTCTGATTAACATGGAAAAGATACCTTTTATCACGTCGCCGCGTCGCGTGTAGTTAGGACACAGTGTAAAGCGCACGGCTCACTAATGGAGTGTCCGAATCCTCTTCTGCTGGTTTAACGACGGTAAAATGGTCGACGCTCCCGGTGCATGATCTAAAAGGCTCTTCCCTGTTCTCTTAGTGAGTAATAGGTGTGTTTTAGGTGTAACAACAAGCAACAAACCAATCAGAGTCTCAGCTCACATTCCCTTTAAAAGCCAGTTGCGGATTCGCTATTTACATGAGGGAATGTGATAGTGGAAAAACTGAACGCTTCTCTAGCGAGGAAACAAATCTACTCATGCATGATGTTAAAGCTGTGTGTGTGTGTGTGTGTGTGTTTGTGTGTGTGAAGTTAAAGCGCAACCAGAACATCTACGGGACAAGCTGGATTTCACCATATCTTTATAATATTCTTTTAGATTGTAATCCTTTTATTTTTAATATTTGACTGGTTTGTGTGCTGCTGCTCCTGTGTGTGTGTAATAAGCTAAATGTGTATAGGGGCATATTAGTATCGCGCTCTTTGAAAAACAAACAAAAACACTGTGCCATTGGCTTTAGACAAGGGTTTAATTGGTCAACGGCTCAGTCTATTTCAGTTCCTCAAAAAAGCAAGAATGCTCCTGAACACACACTCGTTCTCACACCTTTTAAAGGTTTACAACCTAATTTGCTGAACAGAACAATCACCTGACAAAGCCAAAATAAAAGTGATTGAGTTGGAAATTTGAGTTGTCCTTGTGTCCTTTGGAAGTTGAACAGGAGAAGAACTTGACATATATACAGTATTTTTAAATGACACACTGTCTCTTTCTCTCTCACACATATGTAGGCTAGTTATAAACTCTTTAGATTTTTAATGATTAGTGCTTTATTTTTACGGTTTGTGGTTAAGAATCACGTAAAATAAATCCCTTATTTTGGGGATGGATTCCGGGAAATGTCCCTTATTTTCAATGTTCAATGTTGACAGCGTACGCTTGCTTTGTACATGATATGAGGCCCCAGGTCTCTACGGTAGCATTTTTCGACAAGTTAGCACGTTACGATAGAGCAGGGTGCAGCGGGTGCACGGACAGAGGACAAATTATGGGTGTGGACATGGGATGGAGTTCAATTGTCTGATTGACAAAATACCATAAAAGTGCATCATTTTATGTAAATTAATATGAAAAAAGTCTCAGCTGTGTTGAGGGCCATATTAAGATTTTTTTTCATGGTCATTTTTTTCAAGATTTTTTTTCCAAAATCCTTAGCAGCGCCCCTGAGCATGTGTCAGCGGTGTCGTTACCTGTGATAAAACGCGGCTCCGGTGAGGACGATGGAGTACTCGTTGGTCCATTTAGAGGTGTAGCCCCAGGCTTTCTTTACAGGGTCCCAGAAATGGCTCCTGGGAGGGTAGCCGACAATCCTCTCGGGAAAACTCCGCCACACATGGAAAGCAAAATTGATCTGGTAGAGTCGGATTAGAGAGGAAAAACAATTCTTTAAACCAGTGTAATCCGAATTCACATTATAAAGTTGTTTTTAACTGTGCATCTGTAAGAAATGAAACTGTTTAACACTGTTAACATTCTATAATTGTAATAGATTTAAAAGATTCAATCATCTTGCAACACAAAAATGTTTTTATTTTTTCCCCCTTATAACACACTTTTAACATGAATACGGAAATAACAGACTTTAAAAGCATATTCCCAAGTGCAAAATAAATGTAATGTTTGCAGATACTTAATTGCATGTTAGTTTCTAAATGCACTTAATGAACACAATAACGGTGATCTGAAACAAAAAAGATAAATGAATCTATCTATCTACCTATATGCTGTGTGCACATGCACTTTAATAATACGGTGTGATCTTGTTTCTTTAGTCATTTTTGTTTTTAACAGGACTTTAAACTCACAGTAAAAACAGTTTTTTTAACTTATAAAAACTACTGAAATTAAGAAAATTCTGAGAGTGATGTTACATACAAGAGAAGTCCTACTCTGAAGGTTTTAACCTGAAATACATTGTAATTTCACAGTAAATCTCACCTCGCTGGTCAACAGCACCGTGTCTTCATCCAGACTCAAGACCGCCTCTGTCTCAATAGCAGCATGTGGAAGGAATCGGCTGCTCGTCTGCAAACACAGAGAAAAAGGTGTGTGTGTGTGTGTGTGTGTGTGTGTGAGAGAGAGAGAGAGAGAGAGAGAGAGAGAGAGAGAGAGAGAGAGAGAAAGAGAGCATTCCTTTTTCTTTTTAAAAAAAATAATCTTTATTTTATTTTTTTTACTGATTGATTAATTGATTTTTGTGATTATTTGTTCATTGCATATGTAATGGCCAATGCTTTGGCAATACTGTACAAGTCATGCCAATAAAGCTCATTTGAATTGAATTTGAATTACAGACGCGACTCGACTGTGCTCTCGCTTCAATATACTCACTTTCCTCCTGCCATCTGTGACGATAAGCGGCACGGGCATCGGCGGCCATTTACTGCGCTGAGGGAGCGACTTCTCACTGTTCCACAGGATGATGATCTGACAAGAACACACAGTCTCACTATCACAGCATATAGAACTGTTCTGTATAATCTTGAATGCTGTAGAGCAATAGACTTAAGTTTGATCTCTTTTTAAAGACTTTTAAAAAGTGAACTTAAAAAAAGTTACAGAATCTTACGTTTTTTGTTATGAAAAAATCTGAACAAATTGAAACAAAGTTGAGCCTGATATCTCAGTCGGATTGGCCCTGTCCCAATATCCACACTTGCGCCCTTATGCATGTTCTCGCTAAGGGTGCAAGGGTGTTCCAATCATAGACTGTAAAAAAGATGGACGACGCCCCTTCTCTCTTTTCCATCGGAGAGAAGTGAAGCCGCCAGTGTCCCGATATGGTGCTGACATCTTGGTACTTGAGTCTGCGCACTTGAGTTTTCGGGACCAGACATGCACAGTCGTGAGCCGGAAGTAAAGCCACAAAATCAAGGCCCCGCCCTCACTCTCGCAGAATCAATCGCAAGCACACGCCCCACACTTTTCTTAAGCGGCCTCTGTCTGCTCCGTTCCTCTCCAATGATGTCCGCTGATTGCAGAACCTCGTTAAAATAAATACAACTACTAACTACATAATCAATATTATGAAAAAAATTCCGCTGGTGCTTCAGTGACTACTTCGCTCAGAGAACCTGTCAACTACAGCTGTCAATCATGACGTCAAAACACCGTTTTTATAGCATCAAATAACTAACTAAAAACAAACTTATTTTAAAAACAAACACTTGAAATTAAATCAACGTGATAGAAACTACAGTAAATGACAAAAGGATATGTGAAGTGTAATTTAATTGTTTAGATGGTCTCACATCTCGTTGAATAACATGGGGAGGCGGGGTTTATGACATATACTAGGACCGGTCACAGGGGGGTGCGATCGAGACGCTTTCGCTTCACTTTTGAGGGCTTGTGCGGCACGCTTGGTCCCTATCCTTGGTCCCCCCAATCATCAGCGCACTTAAAGGGTTAGTTCACCCAAAAATGAAAATTCTGTCAGTATTTACTCACCCTCATGTTGTTCCTCTACTGTATGTGTTTATTTGTTCTGCTGAACACAAAGGAAGATATTTTGAAGAATGTTTTAGTCAAACAGATCTCATTCCCCATTGACTACCATAGTATGTATTTTTTCCTACTATGGAAGTCAATGGGGTGTATGGAAGTCAGTGTAGTGTAGGACATTGGGACAGGGCCATTGTGTTCGGCTGCAGTACCAAACGCTTCCACTGGATGAAATCGTCTCCCATTAATTTCCAATTCACTAATTTTTGACCATGAGAAGCACAAGTGTGGCTATTTTTTTCAGGACCTTTTAACCTGTTCGAATCATGTCCATTATTTTTTTTGTGTGTGTGTTTACACAGCAAGTACCAAAACTTTATTTTGTACCATTCCGATGAAGGAAATTTAAAAAAAAAAAGTTTTTTTTAAATTGTTTTAAAAAAATGACCGAAGAGGGTTAAGTTTGTGAATTTCAATAATACTGACCTGTGAGCAATATTTGGATTTGGAGACGACCTGAAGGAGCTTCATGATTGGCTGAGACTGTGACACCAGAGGTGAGGTGGCATGAATGACCGCAGTGAACTCCTGACCCGGGCTGATCCCTACATCCACAGAGGACAGAGAGTCAGCGCACCGAACTTTAGGACACTTTGGCTGCGTCCCAAATGGCATACTTTCTTACTATATAGTTACTCTAAAAAGAGTAGGTGAAAATTCCTGGGTGATCTACTATTTCCAGTGAGATTCTGAAGTGTGTATATGATGGACACGTTAATATCCCATAAGGCCACGGGAGAGGATTTGTGAATGGCAGTGAAGTTACGGTAGGTCATGTAATGACGACAATGCGCCCGTATTACATTCATACTGTATAAAACATATTTATTTAGTGGTCTCTTACTATATGCAAAATAGATACATGCTAGTTGCAAAGTAAGATATAGTTAATGTCTAAAGTGGACTGTATAAATAAAGTGTTACTGAAATTGCTAGTGAATTTCGCAAATAATCAACGCATTCTCATCAGGGCGTCATATAGGTGACGCTTTTGACATTGTGTCTAAATCCCACGCACATGGCACCCTTTAGTGATAATATAACACGCTTCGGTTATGGGTAGGTTTAGGTCTGGGATAGAGTTAGGGTTACACCACTAGGAGGCGCCTTCTGGCCCGTATATATCTGCGTCATTGACGCTAAAGGGTAACATGTGCGTTGGATGTATACGCGCATTGGCAAAGGCATCAGTATGTGACGCCTTGGGGATGAGACCAGGCTGAAATAATTGCAAAGAAGCAATTTCATTAAACATGAACTTTTTAGTTTTCAATATTATATTTAGAAAACCGTGCACTTACCCAGGTTGTAGTAATAGAAGGGGTAGTGCGCCAGGTGTGTGGAGTATTCGGGCAGAACCAGCAGCCCTCCAGGTAAGGCGTTCCACATGAACTTATTTCTGGAGATGTGCGAGTAAACTCGATCCTTTATGATCTGAAAGACGTTAAAACAGCAGCATTAAATATAACTGCAACACAACAGTAGTTAATGTATTAACTAACATGAACTGACAATGAGTAAAACATCTGTTACAGTATTAACGTTACTTAATGAAAATACAAATGAAGGTTTTTGATGAACACATTCCAGGACTTTTCTCCATATAATGGACTTCAATGGAGTCCAAACTGTTCAAGATCCAAATGAGAGTTTCAGTGCAGCTTCAAAGGACTTTAAACGACACCAGACGATGAATAAAGGTCTTATCTAGCGAAACGAGCGGCGATTTCAAAAATAAATATCAAAGTTTAAGTTTTATAAGCACAAATGCTCGCCTTGCTCTGATCTGTGATGAGCGTTCGTGACCCTCCTGGGTAACACTTTATTTGAAGGGGTGTGCATAAGACTGACATGACACTGTCATAAACATGACATAACACCTGTCATGAACATGAAGGAGTCTTTATGAATGTTTATGACTGTTGTCATTAAGTGTCATTCGGTAAATTATGACACTTTAAATGCAAAGTTGACATTGTTTAAAATGTCTTTGCTATGACAACTTGACATTAACCAAGACAAAAATGTCTTGGTTATGACAACTTGACATAACCAAGAAACCATAACCTGTTAACCTGTAATGTGTTAACATTACATTACCCTATCATATGTTATGGTTGGTTTTAACTTTGGTTGTTATGACACCATTATAACTGTGACATGAATATTTTACTTGTCCTCAAGTAAAGTGGAACACATTGTACTAGTTATAAAGATGTCATTAAAGGGTTAGTTCATTCATTCATTCATTCAAGCACTTTATTTGTCCCCAGGGGGAAATTTGAAGGCACATTACAGTAGCTTACATAAGCACATTGCACAACCAACACTACACAGCACATATCATTAAAAAACTAAAACCTGAAGAAATCATTAACTCCTATTAAAGTTCAAGTTCATAAGCTGGACGGCCCTCGGGATAAAGGTTACTTTCCTCCTCTGTGTCCGACAAAGCGGAGGGTAGCCATTCAAACTCCGAAAACAGAATGTGTGAGGGGTCATTAATAATCCTACGTGCCACCTTTACAGTCTGTTGGTCACATAAGGCAGTAAGAGTACGAACAGGCTGGTCATTGATCTTTGAACAGACCTTAACCACGCTCGACAGACGGTTCCTGTTTAGGAGAGTGATGGAATGAAACCAGCTGATAAATGAAAAAGTTATTACATTTTCAATGAAAGAATAATAAAATGTCTTAAGAATAACTTTGTTAACCCCGAATGACTTCAACTTCCTAAGTAGATATTGTCTCTGATGACACTTTTTAAGGATTTCCTCTGTATTGGTGGAAAACCTTAGCAGGTTATCGAAGGTCGATCCCAGGTATTTGTATGTCTCCACTATCTCCACTGGCTCCTGCTGAATAATAGTGGTGACAGCCTCTGCTAATTGTCTTTGTTTGGGTGAGAAGGTAACAATCATGTCTTTGGTTTTATCTATGTTCAGCTCAAGACAAGACTTTCCGCACCAAATTAAAAAGTCCTGCAGGGCTGGTCCGTGATGTTGTACATTACTGGAAAGCAGAGACAAGAGGACTGTATCATCAGCAAATTTCACACAATGGCAGTTTGGCTGGACGGATCTACAATCATCAGTGTAGAGGATGAAAAACAGTCATGTTTAGTTCACCCAAAAATGAAAATTAAGTCATTAATTACTCACCCCCATGCTGTACCAACCCCGTAAGACCTTCGTTCATCTTCGGAACACAAATAAAGATATTTTTGATTGAATCTGAGAGCTGGATCAGTCCTATATAGACTGCCTAAGGGACTGGCTCTTGTCTTGACGGCCCATAAAGTCATTAAAGAAAAGGTTTAAATATTCCATGTGCCTACAGCGGCTCAATTATAAGTTTATCAAGCGACGAGACTACTTTTTGTGCGAAAAAAACATAAATAACGACTTTATTCCACTATTCCATTACTTCCTTATGGGCGCATGCGCGAGAACTGAGACGAGGACGTTCTCATTCGTCTACTGTACTTCTTGTTACCGGCTGGATATGGATCATCATTTTATACGGTAGGGGGCGGTAAAACTCCTAAGCGGTGAGCAGCCGGTAACAAGAAGTACAGTAGACGAATGAGAACGTCCTCGTCTCAGTTCTCGCGCATGCGCCCATAAGGAAGTAATGGAATAGTGGAATAAAGTCGTTATTTATGTTTTTTTCGCACAAAAAGTAGTCTCGTCGCTTGATAAACTTATAATTGAGCCGCTGTAGGCACATGGAATATTTAAACCTTTTCTTTAATGACTTTATGGGCCGTCAAGACAAGAGCCAGTCCCTTAGGCAGTCTATATAGGACTGATCCAGCTCTCAGATTCAATCAAAAATATCTTTATTTGTGTTCCGAAGATGAACGAAGGTCTTACGGGGTTGGAACAGCATGGGGGTGAGTAATTAATGACTTAATTTTCATTTTTGGGTGAACTAACCCTTTAAGGGTCATTAGACTGTCAAATGTTTTAACAACAGTGTCATTAATATGTCCCTCAAGTAAAGTGGAACACGTTGGACTAGTTATGATTTCTTGGTTAATGTCAAGTTGTCATAATCATAGTTTATAAACGATGACGCAGAGGCTCCCGCTTAGCTCTATGATTGGGTGTTATCAGTTATGACGTATCCTTCCCTGATTCGTCATTCACTGTTTACACCGGCACGTGCATGCCCAGTGTTGGTGAATGGTGACGTGATCCGCGTTTTCAGTCGTTTTAATGTGGACGGAGATCATTTCTAATACGCAGATAAAACGCTGGTGTGGACGGAGATCTTCTTCGTTTTAATTCTCAGTTTTTAAACGAAAACGCAGTAGTGTGGACGGGGCTTTATTCATCGTCTGGTGTCGTTTAAAGCCCTTTGAAGCTGCACTGAAACTCTCATTTGGACCTTGAACCGTTTGGACCCCATTAAAGTCCATTATATGTAGAAAATCCTGGAATATTTTCATCAAAAACCTTAATTCTTTTCGACTGAAGAAAGAAAGACATGGACATCTTGGATGACATGGGGGTGAGTAAATTATCAGCAAAAGTTTTTTTTAAAAGTGAACTACTCCTTTAACTAAGATTAAAGGAGCAATGTGTGACTTTTAGCGACATCTAGTGGTCCGGTTGCGAGTTTGCACCAGGTTGCACTAAGGGCTCAGCCCACTGCTCACCCCTCCCTTTCGAAGAAGCTACGGTTGCTAAAACGGGACAAACATCTCGTCGGCTGAGACAGCAGAGAATAGCCAGAGTAAGCCAAGAGTGTGTAACATTGTCACTGTTTCTGTACCACAGTCCATTATAAACCACATCATGAATACTGTTTACAAAGGCATAGTCAGGTGAGGATCAAGGGTTTTAATATATAATTTAATAAAATAATATTAATCAGCTGATTGTCTCACAAACGTAACCAGCAGCACATTTATCCCCACATACTGTAGCAAACCCATAATACAGCGAGGGAGCAGCTATATATTTTTTCTAACAGGGTAGTAATAGTTTAGCTGGCTAATATGAGCTGTTACTGTGGCTGAGCTGGGACGCGTCTGCATGAGTCCAAAGGTCGGAAGTGCGCGCGCTGTTACAATCATGTCATCTCCGCATCCCATAGATACTATTTACTACACACAATAGGCTTTTTTTCTCTGATTTTTAAAATTCTTCGCGATCGACTTTAGTGATAAAAGACTTTAGTAAAAGTCTCTATCGACGGGTTAGTGATTCCTGTAACGTACTGTTTTACGGTCAATGACATGAATACTAATCATCAGCTGTCTCACGAACGTAACAGCACATCTATCCCCAACATAACAAACCCATAACACAGCGAGGGAGAACTAAGTTACATGAAACAATCCCAACTACATATTTTACACCACTCACAAGGGAAAAGTCACTACTCACGGAGTGTAAGGCTAGCTTTCAGCTTTCCGCTACTTCTCTTTCAAGGTAGTGATGAAACGCGTTCTGTGGCGCTGTTTGTTCGCGTTCAGCTACGATAGGAATATGACGTCACAACATGGCGACCTTCATAGAAGGGGATTCCCTTGGTTATGGAGCTATTAATGTCTCATTCTAAGGTAATAAAAACATTACGGCTAATTAAGTAAGTTCTTTATACACCACTGAAAACATAGTTATGGATGTCATATTGGATTTCTGTTAATAGATACTCAACTTTGTTACACATTGCACCTTTAATGTAGCCTACAGTTCATTATAAGTTTGTTAACTATAACAAACCTTGTAAAGTGTTACCAATATAACAATCACATAAAATCAAAACCTATGATGGAGAAGATTTGTAAAGGTGAAAATCACCTTTCAAGTGTAAGAAAACAAATATTTGCAGCAATTTACAGTTATTCGTATGTTTAATGCATGTATTGTGAAACTGCAGCTGCTTACACAAAATAAATATGATCCGTATTATCCTGACTTCCATTTGTCCACGCTTACACTTTTGGCATGTTTTTTCCCCCCACACAAATAGGACAAAAGCACCGCAGGACTGTGAATAACAGCAGAGAATGTCTAATTGAAGAGAATTGGCACTGGCTGGTTACTTCCGGGTTCTGGACTGGCTGCAGTAACACGTCTCTGTCCATGCGGGGGCGCTCGCGGTCGAGTGCAGAATGAATGGGAGTCAATGGGGTTTCACCCCCAGAAATCCACTTTTCTCAGGATGTAATTTTTTGTCAAGTAATTTGAAAGTTGCATTCAAAAGGGAGGACTAAGATAATACACTCAGCTGAAAATTGCATTTTTAAGTTCACTTATCTGTTCTAAAAATCCGTTCAAAACTGTGATGACGTCACACAATAGCAGAATGCTAGCGTGTTCCAGCCAACTACAGCCTAAGGACATAAGTACTCGTTCATTCGACTTTTGGCCTATAATCTATATTGAACTTGCGGAATCAACAATAAAATCTATGTTAATTTAACGACAAGCAGGTGAAAGAGACACTTTTAGCCATTTAGCCCCATAGACTCCCATTCATTCTGCTCTCGCCCGCGATCACCTCCAGTGGAATTCTAATGGAACTGCAACCAGGATGATACACACAATGGTGCTAATAGGAAGTGCCAAGGCTCTCCGTTAGACGGGCTCTGATAACAGCTATTTGCAACTGAAAACAACAGAGTCAGGAACTGCACAACAGATTGATCGCGTAAAATCAACCTTTGTGTAAAAAAATCGGCAAATGTCTCTGACTTGTAGTGAGTGAGTGTGAATAAAGTTCCCGAAATAACCCGATTTGTAGTTGTCTTTATTTGAGCAACGCTTACAGTTTTGGCACGATTCTCTCATTAAGTTTTGCACGTGTGAAGAGGAGGGCGTGTCCACCTTCTACTGTAGCCAATCATATGCGCTTCTCGCTGACTCTCGATTTACTCTGCCAGAACCATAGTTAGACTGTAAAAGGCCAGAACACATCAATATCTTAATTTGGCTCGTCGTTCTCGTTGCAAAAATTGTACTTTTAATTCACACATACATGGTACATAAATAAATCAATAAATCAAGATTGCCTAATAAGCTGTGCACCATAGGCTGAATATGAGTTATGGATAAACACTTTTTTACACCATCACAAATCTTCTTTTGCACATGCAGATTTTATTTACGCTTGCAATCTTATGTATATTTTCACAAATCTTACCCATTATGGCATCATGAAATTACCTTTATAAACACCCCAGTCATTTCGGTTTTTTTTAGAATGATCACTTGCACCTGTTGGCCAGCAGGGGGCGCAGTTACGCCATACTTCTGTGCATACTTGACATCTCATTTGCCAATTAACCTAAGGGCAGGGAACTAAGTATGTGCTAATGATGTATGGCATCCTGTGCTGGTTTAATTTCCCCGGGCAGACATCCTCTCTGTCAGACACACACACCTCAGTTGACCCAGCTCACCTCCAGTGTGGTGAGGACAATCTTATCCACGGAGGAGAAGTATGCGTCCCAGAGCATCTGTGTGCGCTGTCTGAGGGCCAGAACCCGGTCAGGGGACACCGCCCGCACCGTGGACGGAACCTGACGGACAGAACCAGAAGATCATTGTGTAAGTCCAAAACCTCAGCCGAGTTTACCTGTCGACCTCCTCCACAAACACACTCTCTCAGACACACACGTTTAAAGTCGGTTGCACACCGTTTCTACTAAAACCGGAAGACTTTATTTGCGTTTTGGCCGTTCATTTACACGACGACTGTGTTTTGGTATGGGATGAATTTAGTCTGAAAATGATTGCACATGCATGCACAATTATCCTTGAACTTGATAAAGAATTTACTATCTAATCCTCATCCAAATGCCTTAACTTGCGTGTCATAATTGAGAATTAAATGAATGTGCAGCAATTTGTACAAATCTTGTGAATACAAATGTTTTATATCACAATTGTGCAGCAATTTGTACAAATCTTGTGAATACAAATGTTATAAAGTATAAACTAGGTAAAGTATAAACGCCTCGTCCGTTTGGAGAGGTGCGCGCGGAGCCTCGCGCTCGTGCGGACGCGTCGAGTTATACACAAGGCTTTATAAATGCTTGAAATGCACTCGCGGTGGTTGAGCGCGGTAAAGTTAGTTTTAGGTCCGAAATATTTCGCCTGACATTTGTTTTCCCTATAGCCACTGTTCTAGGTCTTACAAAGAGATCAATAGCAGGATTAGTTTTAACAAACCATTGATATTCGTTCATTAATATTCAAAATTCACCTGCGTGCATTTAATGCTGCATATTTATACCTGAGAATGCTTTGACGCGTTTGCATAGCGCATGATGAGGGAACGTCTGCCAATCCCACCAACTGCGTTAAACGTAGCAAATAATTTGCATTATTTAAAATTACTTTTTAAATTCCAAAGCTTGTAGAAGGTGGCAATAATGACCTGGTGGCCTTGAGTAAATTAACTTGTTTAAGATAATGATTCATAAAACATACTATAATTATCAGTTAAGCCTATTCACTTCACTGACACAGACGAAAATGAAAGACTATCAGTCAAAGTTCAGGGGGTTTAGGAGGCGGAAGAAATGGGGCAGGATAAGGAGACTGAGAAAAAGAAAGTGTAGATGAGGAGAGAGCTGGTGGGCTATTGACAAAATAATTGAAAGCCCACTGACATGGTTTTAAAGCTATTTATTATCCATTTTTTTTGGCTTTCAAAAGTCTTAAATTGCACATAATTTGCTCAGACACAGAAATCAAAATTTTCTCGGGGGAGGCCCCGAACCCCACTTTTTGTCCCAGTGTTAAGCAATTTTAACATAGTATTGTCAATCAGTGTAGATGGGCCAAAATATTACCATTAAAATATCAAGTAAATAAGTGACAGGCTACTTGGTGCCACAGCGACACCCAAAAAGTATTGCTATACCACGATACTCAATATGTTGTCCCACGGTGAGTCATTTTTCTTTGTTGCGCCTAGTCGCCTACACAAAATTTGAGGGTTCCCCCACCTGACAAATCCCACTTTAACCACTGTATATAACAATAGTTAGTTAACATTAATGCAATATCTAACACAAAGCCAAACAATTAAAAATAGCATTATTAATCTTTAAAACGTTTTTTTAATAGTTTTTCAAAATAGTCTCCCATGCCCAACAAAACTGCATTTTTAAAATATAAAACAGTGTAATATTACTCCAGTGTAAATCATCTGTTTTCTATGTGAATATACTGTATAGTAAAGTGTAATTTATTCCTGTGATCAAAGCTGAATTTATTGTCATTACTCCAGTCTTCAGTATGATCCTTCACAAATCACTCTAATATGAGGATGATGATCAACAAACATTTATTATATATTATTATCATTATTATGAGTTGTGCTGCTTAAAATTGTCATGGAAACCATGATTTTTTTTTTCAAGATCTTGTTTCAAAATCAAATCTTTTGTAACGTAAGGAATGTAATTGTTAGTTCGTGAGACATAACTGAGGAAGAGTTTCCAAAATGAATAAGCAGCAGCAAGACTTATTAAACTATGATAAAATAGTGAAAGTCACAGAATCAGAACATCATCATCATATGTTTTAATTGGCACATTTTTCCATCCTTATGTTCCCTCTTCAGGAGAGAGAGCGGGAAGGGCTGTTACCTGTAGCAACAGTCTCTCGTCGCCCTCGACGACGGCCTGGTTCCACTGGATGACATCAGAGAACGGTAATTCCCATCCGTTACTGAGTAACACTGGGATACAAGCGGCCTATGAGGACAGAGCAGGGCGTAGACTATAATTAGCCTCAGTACAAACAAGTCATCTGCTGAAACACACACGCACACACAGTCCAAGTTCACCCCAAATGCACTGAGATATAGCGCATCAGAGTTTCCCCTTTAGGCAAGGTTATGAGATCGAATATGTAGCATGTGATGCGGCGGTCTGTGTGTGTACGGAGTCTCGGAGGGGCCAGTTCGTGACTGTTATCACACAGCACTCTAATCACACATGTGTTAATTACCCCGCCAGAACAGCAGAGACACACGCAGGAGTCCATGATTTATTGAAGTGCAGTTGCTCTCCATCCCTCCTGTTTACTATTCCATCTTGATGTTGCTCTACTTTTCCTCCCAGACTCCTTGTTTGCCTTTTCCATCGTTCTGCTGGTATTCTGGTCTTTTTAATTAAATCACAAGAGAGTGCAATCCTAAGAACGGGCCGAGATCAAACAGGAGTGTGAAGCCACGCTTTCATCCTAAACACAGCGAAGCGCTCCAGGTGTTCCTCTAAACACTCCGAGATCAGGAGCCGGTATTTCATGACCAGCACTGAGACTTGTGTGTGCCAATGTCTCTCTCTCTCTCTCTCTCTCTCTCTCTCTCTGCGAGGAGTGTGTCGAGGAACTCACTCACTCACTCACTCGCATACATACTCACACTCTCTCACTTTCACACACTCTCTCTCTTACACACACACACACACACACTCACGCACACACACTTTCACACTCACACACACACTTTCTCACACACACACACACACACAGACGGTGTGAGACTCGAGACATGTGGCTGTGGGAGTTTACAGAGATATCTTATTTAAACTTGTGTGTATTTGTGACCCATATACATTTATTAAACTGGTTGGATGAGCCACGTTCAAATTAGAAACCGCGCATGACAGCATAATATTTTTTTTATTCTGTTTGTCTTAATTTTAAAGTTCAATTCTATTTTTTTTGTAGTTTTTATTTATGCAAAAGACAAAAAATGTATCATTTTAAATAGTCACAACAATTACATTGTTAAATACATTATAATATTTAGACACTTTACAATTTAAATTTAAAATAATTACAATTTAATTAAATTTAATTAGTTTTTTTATTTTTATCATTATTATTATTTATTTTATTTTAATTGCCACATTGTTTGGAAACCCCAAAAAGGCCACTGTAGGAAAATTAACTATGGTATATTATGCAGTGTTTATTCTGAGAACTATAAAAACATACATTTATGGATCTAATTTATACCCTTAACAGGGAAAAATCCCTGTTAAAAAAGTTTAATTTTATTTTAATTGCCACGTATCAGAACCATAAATAGCCTATAGTTAGAATAATGAGCTATATTTATTGGTGTCCAATTTGATAATGTTTTATATTAAATGTAACTTATTTGCATTTATTTCATTTTATGTTATTTTATTATCAATAGCTCACCAAGCTCTTCCAGACAGACTAGACAGAATTCCAAAGTAATTTATTTTAAATAAATGTTTTGAAAATTCATTGTTTTGAATTTGGAGTTTGTATTGAAATCCGTTCTAATTGTGTTTTTAGATACTCAATCCTTTAGATTTTAAAATTGTGAAATTAATGAGAATTAATCTTAATTACAGGAATATGAATATTGGTTAAAATATGGCATCATGTCACTCACACATTCTCTGTGCTTTAGAATAGAAATGCCCATTTCCTGCTGAAGAAACTAAAGAGAACATTGTGATTAGATTTAGCATTTTGATCCGAAATCCCATTTTTATCCCCCACTCTCGGATAAAAAGACACATGAGCTGTCACTGGTGGGGTATCTTATCAAAAGGAACACTTTTGTTTAATTTAGGTACTAATATGTACCTTTAAATGTACAATGTCATTGTTTTTGGCCACTAGGGGTCGCTGACCTCTTATAATTACAGAGGCGTAGGTTGATGACGCAGTGATAAGCGGAAGGATGAGACTTGCTGTCATGCCGATTGATCTAATGATGTTTATGGATGAGTGAATACATTGATGTTTTTTAACGTGACTAGTGTGAAGCGGGTCGCGATTGCTAATGAGAGACGGATATCAGTGCCACACACGAGTCCCGCGGAAATAAAGGAATAAGGACATTTAATTTTACAGAACTACATGCAAGTGCTGGATTACTCGCACTGGTCAGATTATTAGACGAATTAAACATGAGTAAACGTTCACTTGCTCTACACTATCACACTAAACTGCAATTGAGTGTGTTTAAAATTGTGAATTTCTCTGAATTGCCAAATTCTTGGAAACATTTAGGATAATGGAAGTACACAATTGAAAGAAATGTTTAACACTGTGCAAGTGTTTTTTTGGTATATTTTGATACAAAATTCTTACATATTGTACCTTTAAGTAACGTAAAGAACCATTATAACATTTATTTAAACATGAGATGATCATTCTCATATTCTCATCACTTGTAATAAAAAGCAGATTATTTAAACTGAAAAACAGATATTTAACTATACAAATATAAACATTATAAATATTTCAATATAAAAATATAGATATTAAATTACATTAAGTTATGTATATTTAAGTTTTTATTAGGGGTGTAACGATTCGTTTTAACAACGATTCGATTCGTATCACGATTTGTGGTTGTCGATACGATTCAAGGACGATATTGGTTAATTTAGAACGATACGATCCGAAACGATTCAGTGACTTGAAATCGATTCAGTAACTTTTTAGCCAAAAATTCAACCAATGTCACTGAAATAAATACCTGAAATTATTTATTTATTATTAGGTTATTAATATTATTAACCTGGTTAATTTAGAACCTGGACCTGGTTTAGACCTGGTTTATATTCCCAGAAAAAACATCTATGAACCTATTAATATTAATGATTTTTAGAACAGATACAGATTTAACAACTGTGACTTGAAAAATAGCTAAGAATTAAATAAAACCACTTTTCCTACAGTCTTCTTTTCAATGAATGATATATGCATTCTTTATAAATACTTGCATACATCATTATTCTATTCTTTCAAGTAGACAAATTTATTTGTATGAATTAAATATAATTAATCCTTATTAAAGCTATTAACAAACAGTGAATGCTTTTCTCTTTTTCTTTCGTCACACAGGACACAGACCGCATTAGGTTTATTGCCACTGTCACATCATGTCCAAGCACATCCGATACACTCACAACTGTTTAATTAAGACATAACCAACATAGTTTACATGAATACTCTCCAAACAGACATTTAGACATAATGTTGTGTGTATTTGTCTATTCAGACACGAAAGAGAACTCAATTCATTACTCACGCGATGTATAGATGTTTATGTGCATGATTGGACGTTTGGTTCGAAATCCACAGAAATCCTTTTCTGCATCCTCACTCTATTCAGATCTACAGTATATGCATACTCTACTACTCATTCTCCCAGACGTTGACATATTTTAACGTTTTATGAGACCGCTGGGTAGATAAGCACGTGACAGTATGTGTGCATCTAAGTTACCACACACGCAGGACAGTTCTGACTGGATCGCTTCTCAGATTGACACTATCTAACATTTTCATCCAGAGTTTGTTGACGAAAATGTCAATAGATTTTCGTCATAGTTTTTGTAATTCAAAACTAGGTTTTATTTAGTTATCGTCTCGTTTTCATCTGTGAAAAAATGTTGTTGGCGAATAATTTTCATCATCATCTTCGTCAACGAAATAAACACTGCAGTGCAGGTGAAGTGTCCTAGATTCCGTTATTGACATTTACATGTCCTACAAACAGCGTGCGACTCATTTAGAACATCTCCGTCTTTACAAAAGCCAATGTGTTTTCACACACTGATCATTTCTCGCTCGTCGGCTTCTCCTTGTCATTCGCCATGCTATGTATATTATCTTTGCGCTGCTGCTGGTGCGTGGTGATAACGTCACAGATATCGAGTAACGTTTAACGACTGTGTCATTAAAACTAAAGTTCAAAGAAAAAAAAAAACAGCCATATAAAGTCTGACGTGCTTAAATTCAATGCGTTCGTAGTATCGATACAATTGATTAATTAACTTTTGAAACGATTTTAGATCGATATATGCAGATCTTTTGAGATTGACTAGCAGAGCACAGATCGATGTAGTTGGATCATTTGAATATAAATCGATACATCGATGTAGTAGATGAATCGTTACACCTCTAGTTTTTATATAAGTAAGTTTTGATGTTTTAATACAAAACTCTTACATATTGTGCCTTTAAGGTCCCAGTATGCACTCTTTCGGTACCAAAGTGCGAAGGTGCCACTCAATGACCGCTTCTCTGCGAGTGCCTGTTAGTAGCTTCTTGGCCTGAAGTGTTTGAGAACCTCTGTCTGTTCTAGAACTTTCCACATGGCTTGTAATTGCCAGTTTTCTATGGCCTTGGCGTCCTCCAAAGAAAAGAGATCTGTGGGACTCCGACTGGGGCTTATGTGAAGTAAATGCGGGGGAATCAGTGTGTTGCCAAACCCAGCGTTGTGCGGATTCATGCATTCAGCGAGAGCTTCCGGCCCTTTCACACACACACACACACACACACACACACACACACCAGCAAGACGTCCAGCAATATACAAGAACACACACTCCTGGGAAGGTTTTCCACTCGTCGGCTAATGTGCTGTTTACCTGGGAGACTGACTGTTTTCATAATCCACCAGACCTTCCTCGCATCTCTAATGGGATTGTGGGTAACAACACTTAATAATAATGGTCCTTCATTAATAAGTAACTGTACATTACTGTACATTACCAGCTACTACTATTAACTAATCTAGAAACAAGCTTAACTGATAAGTAAGGAATATCGAATAGCACTAAGATTAGATAATCAATAATTACTTAAAGGGTTAGTTTACCCAAAAATGAAAATTAAGTCATTAATTACTCACCCCCATGCTGTTCCAACCCCGTAAGACCTTCGTTCATCTTCGGAACACAAATAAAGATATTTTTGATTGAATCTGAGAGCTAGATCACTCCTGCATAGACTTCCTAAGGGACTGGCTCTTGACGGCCCATAAAGTCATTAAAGAAAAGGTTTAAATATTCCATGTGCCTACAGCGGCTCAATTATAAGTTTATCAAGCGACAAGAATACTTTTTGTGTGAAAAAAACATAAATAACGGCTTTATTCGACTATACTATTACTTCCTTATGGGCGCATGCGCGAGAACTGAGACGAGGACGGTCTCCTTCTACTACTTTTTGTTACCGGCTGCTCACCGCTTAGGAGTTTTACCGCCCCCTACCGTATAAGATGATGTGCTGATATAGCTGGAAGCGCACAACTTTCTGTTTACAAGCAGAGGAAGATGCGCGCTGTACATACGCTTTTCAATTTGCGTATTTTCCGCACTATAAGGTGCACTTAAAAGCCTTTAATCTTCTGAAAAAACGACAGTGTTCCTTATAATCCGGAGCGCCTTATATATGGATCATCATTTTATACGGTAGGTGGCGGTAATAAGCGGTAACAAAAAGTAGTCGAAGAAGAACATCCTCGTCTCAGTTCTCGCGCATGCGCCCATAAGGAAGTAATAGAATAGTCGAATAAAGTCGTTATTTATGTTTTTTCGCACAAAAAGTAGTCTCTTTGCTTGATAAACTTATAATTGAGCCGCTGTAGGCACATGGAATATTTAAACCTTTTCTTTAATGACTTTATGGGCCGTCAAGAGGCAGTCCCTTAGGAAGTCTATGGAAGAGTGATCCAGCTCTCAGATTAAATCAAAAATATCTTTATTTGTGTTCCGAAGATGAACGAAGGTCTTACGGGGTTGGTACAGCATGGGGATGAGTAATTAATGACTTAATTTTTGGGTGAACTAACCCTTTAACATGTCTGAGACGTTAGCAATTGCCTTTTTTTACACACTAATCTCTATTATTCAAGTGTTGCCTAGAACTACTAGTGGTCTAGACATTTATTTTAAAGTGAAAAACATCCTTTGGTCTAGATCATTGAAGATTGTCTTTTTTTACTCAGAACATGGTCATAAAATGCATCACTAATTACTCACTACTAGTGATGATGACTATATACAGAGTAAACATGACTGATAATTCATCTCACACACACCATAATGCTCTTTATAATTTGTCAGTTAGTTAATAGTTATGAATGAGGCTAATTTCATGAAGTAATTATAGATAATTAACCATCATAATTATTCATAATTAACTATCTCCTAAATGTGATATTACTGATTAGTTGAGCTTGATTCATTAGTTAATAGTAGTAGCTGATAATGTAGATCTACGCATAAGTCCTGCATTACCTCCGGCACAGTTACTTATGAATGAAGGACTATAATTGATGAATGAAGGATTATAAAGTGAAGCGTTCAGTTTATAAATGTTTCACCTGCAGAGACTCGAGGAACCGGAACGAGCCCAAGCGTCGCCCGCGGGGAACCAGACAGAAGGTGGAGTTGTGGAGCAGCTCTTGATAGTCAAATCTATGGAGGAAAAAAAATATGTACATTAAGTTTAAAATATGGCACATGTCACATTTCTCTGGTTTTGACAGATTTCATATGCATTAATCCAAAAACCATCATAAATTATTTATGTTTATTCTTGTTTAAAAAGTCACAAAAACTTCCTTTAGTGCAATTTACTAATTACAGTGAGCTGCATATATTATAAACTTAAAAAGGCTGAATAGTAAAACCGAGTTAATTTGCGCTACCGTTCAAAAGGGGTCAGTAAGATTTAATGCTTTTAAAGAGTCTCTTCTGCTCACCAACGCTGCATATATTTGATCAAAAAGATAGTTAAATTGTGTAATATTATTAGAATGCAAATCATCTGTTTTCTATGTGAATATATAGTAAAGTGTAATTTATTCCTGTGATCAAAGCTGAATTTATCATCATTACTCCAGTCTTCAGTGTCGCATGATCCTTCACAAATCAATCTAATATGAGGATCTGATGATCAACAAACATTATCAGTGTTGAAAACTCTCATATTTGTGTGGAAACTATGATATATTTTATTTATCTCATGGAAAGGAAGGATTCTTTGATGAATAGAAAGTTCATAAGAACAGCATTTATTTATACAACATTATAAATGTATATTCTGTCACTTTTGATCAATTTATAGCATCCTTCCTGAATATAAGTATTGATTTCTTAGAAAAGAACATAACTGACTCCAAACTTTTAAATGAATATAATATAATATAATATGATGGTCATATGAGCATTTCCTAACATTTCCAAGTCCAGTTTCCCCATTTCCTGTTTCTTTTCTCTCTGTTTGATCAAAGTGTCAAACGGCCACATCAAGGAAAACTATTAGCCAATCAATGAAAGAGCAGCGTTGAGCGGCGGTATAATACACACGTTGAGAGGCCCTCATGAGGCTGTTTTGATCCGAGCGAGCCGTCTTCTCGGCCTCGAGCTGTTGTCCCTGGCAACCATTTATGGTTTCTAAGAATACGCTGAGTCCAGAAGCTTTGTGTGATTGCCACCGCTGGATGACCAGTGAGGATGAAGGGAAGAGCGCAGTGTGTTAATGAGTGTAGAGATCGAGTGTTGTTCCACAGATCTGATTCCAGTGCCGCGCCACTCCAACAGAGCAACATTTGGGAACACTTTACTTGAAGGGGTGAGCATAAGACTGACATAACAAATGTCATGAATATGAAGGGGGTTTATGCATTTTTATGACAACCGTCATTAAGTGTCATTTCCTCAATTATGACATTTTGAATGCAAATATGACATTGTTTGAGATATCTTGGCAATGACACCTTGACATAAACCAATACATCATAACCTTTCAGTGTCTTTGTCATGACAACTTGACAATTACTAAGACAACACAACTTGTTATAAATATGACATAGTAGATGAATTATCAAACTTAAAGGGGAAATGAAGCAGTGAATCAAGTTTACATGATTTACAAGATGGATTTCCAATATAATCAACAATTATATAAGAAACATTACAAATGTATACATTTAGAAGAAAAAAAGAAAAAACTTTGTATCTTTCGCCGCCAGGGCGCCGCCATTGTGCAGGTGATGTCACGGGGTTGGTTGGCTCAAGTTTAACAGGCTCTGGGCATTGAAAATCGCGACATCAAACTGTGTTTATACCAGTGTTTTGACCGCGAACGACTAATGTTAGGTACAGATATTCGACAAAAAGACGACGTCTCATGTTATATGTTGACAAACTGCACATAGAAACATTGTTTGCGATGTCTGCCGTCAGATATTCCCGTCTCGTCAATAACATGTAAGTTAGCACGTATTTGTTAAAGGGGAAATGAAACGTCCATATTTTCGCACTGGTAGTGCTAGTAACGTTAGCTACAGCCTACATATACTAGGAAAAAGTGTCTCCGCTCTGACATCCTTCAGGGAAAGCATCGCCGCTTCCACACGTCTAACTCCCGGCACAGCATGGTAAACGTGCGCGCCGGTGATGCAGAATTGACCACGCAACACATGCTCAAGATCAACCTCTTAACAACAGATGGACTCTGACACGGAGGGCATCGCAGGACAACAGCCACACTGACACCTGGTAAGTTAGCGTTGCAAACCCGCTCTCCGCCCCAAACCACCACTGACTGTTCTACACGTAACTTACATGGTGTTGACGAGACGGGAATATCTGACGGCAGACATCGCGAACAATGTTTCTATGTGCAGTTTGTCAACATATAACATTAGACGTCGTCTTTTTGTCTAATAACTGTACCTAACATTAGTCGTTCGCGGTCAAAACACTGGTGTAAACACAGTTTGATGTCGTGATTTTCAATGCCCAGAGCCTGTTAAACTTGAGCCAACCAACCCCGTGACGTCACCTGCACAATGGCGGCGCCCTGGCGGCGAAAGATACAAAGTTTTTTTTCCTTTTTTCTTCTAAATGTTTACATTTGTAATGTTTCTTATATAATTGTTGATTATATTGGAAATCCATCTTGTAAATCATGTAAACTTGATTCACCGCTTCATTTCCCCTTTAAGAATCCACCTAGCTTTATTGGTTGACATTACATTAAACTTTCATGTGGTTGGTTTTGACATTGGCTCTCATGAGGCATTATAACTGTGTCATGAATATTTTTTGTGACCTCAACTACAGTGGTACACATTGAATTTGTCATTAAAATGTTGGTTTCATGACAGCCAATGTCAAAACCAACCACCTGACAGTTTAATGTAATGTTAACCAAAGTGGTTTGATAATTAACTTGCTATGTCATGTTTATGACAGGTTGTGTTGTCTGAGAAATGTCAAGTTGTCATGACAAATACACTTTGGACAAGAAGTAACTTTGGACATCAGTGTTGTTATTGTTAACTAAAACTAAGCTGACATAAAACAAATATTAGATGAAAAACTGAACTCAAAATGGAAAATTAGTATTTTTTATGGAATATTGCAGTGATTATAAATGATTCATCCGTTCACTTCATTGTTTTAAATTCATGTGTCTTGAGTCTCATAATCTTGAATCAGAATAACTTTCCCTCATCTCTTCTTTTTTTGACGAGGACGGGGCAACCTGTCACTCACATGAGATCAGCCAATAGCAGACCATCAGTTCCCCACAGACACAATCAAGCCCCGCCCACATTCGTTCTTGTTCCAGAAGCGTTTCACTCGGATATACGTAACAACAGGGAAGAGAAGACTGAAAAAAAATGAGTCTTAAGTAGAAGTACTAAAAAATTGCAAAACTAAAACAGAAAAATAAATAAATACCTTGGAAAAAGTTAGCACAAAACAAAATTGCTAAAACTTGAAGGATTAGTTCACTTCAGAATTAATTATTCGTATAATTTGCTCTCCCCACAATGAACATCTTGATTTATCCAAGATGTTCATGTCTTTCTTTCTTCAGTGGAAAAGACATTAAGGTTTTTGAGGAACACACTCCAGGATTGTTTTCCATATAGTGTCTTCAATAGGGTCCAACGTGTCGAAGGTCCAGATGTGAGTTTCAGTGCAGCTTCAAAGTCTCGACGCGATCGAGTCGAGGAATCTGATCTAGACAAACCAGCGGACTTTTATAACAAAATACACATTTCTATACTTTTAACCACTAATGCTGGTCTTGCACGAGCTGTGATGCGACACATATTACGTCACCAGGGTGAAAGGTCAAGTGTGACGTAGGTGTAAGAACAGACCCGGTGTTTACAAAGCCAACGTGCGAAGACTGAGTCAAATGCCATTTACCAAAAAAACAACATGTCGGATGAAATTTAGAAATTAGATGCTTTTCGCCCTATCCTACATTTCTGACCTGCGTGACCTTTCACCCTGATTACATAACGTGTGGCACAACAAGTGATTTGTCAGGAAATTTTGGTTCTGAAGTGAACTAATCCTTTAAGCTAAAATTAAAACTGAAAAATAAAATAAAAGCTAATTCAAATAAATATTAATAAATAATAGAGGTATGATAACAGTCTAGTCAAGCCAGCTTTATTTCTACAGTGTTTCGAAAATTTCAAGCAGCTTTACAGTGATGGTCCGTGTACCTTTTCGTTCTTTCATTATTCTATTTCGGAAAAAAAGATGACGTTTAAAAAAGCAACTTGGTTTTTTGTTTAAAAGAAAAAAATCAGAAATGGCTGTATTTTGTTTTCCAAATGTATTGTTGTCATCAAATTATAGTATTAGAAAATTGGACGACATTTCCGGTCGTTATTTAATCTGTAAAATTTATTTGTACGTTTATTGTATTTGAAATGACTCAGAGCCGAAAAGTGATGGTCCTATGGCCGGCCGCGTGAGCGCGCGCCGCGTGTTAAAGGTGTATCGCCCATTCTTTTTACGAATGTGGATCAAGCAGATACAACGTGCAAATAAACATCACTCACCCAGTAGCCTACTTTTTACCTATTAAAATACCTGTAAAGGGCCAATAGAACCATTATTACAACCAACCTTCAGTGATTGAAGCCTCTACTTATTGATTGAAAGGTTATTTCTGCCCTGAAATGTGCTGCTTATATTCATGAGGGTTAAATCTGACTGATTATTACTCACCCAGTATTTAACTTTTGGCCTATTAAAATACCTGTGAAGGGCCAATACAACCATTATAATGCAGTAGCCTTTTACCTGCCAAAAAGTGATTGAAGCCTCTGCAGAAAAGGCAAGGATTCCTGTTGGTTTGCATCAATTGAATATTTTATTATGTGCTATAGCCTATTTGTAAGTGGATAATAGATAAATTCTTTATAATTGGGGAATCTGGAGTGATTGCTCTGAAAGCGGCACCAGACCTGAGAAATATATCTAAAATGTTAACTTCTAAAAAGAACATTTCAAAACGAAAGAAAACAGACTGCTCTCTGTATATGTAATCCATATGAAATGTGCATTTCTCTCTGGCGCGTTCACTACTGCGAAGATCACGACCAGCATTGTCGACTTCATCTCTGCTGGCAACACTGACACATAGGGCTAAAAAC